TGTGGTGGAATGTTTTGTTGTCAGAATGTGGAAAACAATCGAAGAGTTGATTAATTTACTCTATCATCTGGGAGTAAAGGAATGAAATATTAGGCTGTCTCTTTGAGTACGAGTTGGTTCAACAACAACCACTCAAAGATGACCTAAAGATATATTAACAAGATAAACCTTAAAGTGCAAAGGAAAGTATGTTAAAGAACGGATAGCAGAACTCGTATTTAACATTCACCTCGGCCGGTGTACTGCTTATACTCTTAGAAGTGCTTAGGATGCAGAATTTATACGTAATTGCTAGAGTCCTTGTCAAAGCTTTGTTTCGCACACCAAGAAGTAACATATGATGGGGTAGCAATTTTGAAAAATAATTTACTGGTACGAGGAGGAGGATAATCATCTCTGGGACTAGTTCACGAGCACAGTTATTGATTATTCTACTCACTCACAGCTGTTCCGATAAACGGACCAATAAAGTACATCCTCTTAACGCAAGAACGATGAAGTGAGCAACCATAATCCCTGTACAGATTTGATCCTGCTTAACATCCCAACTATAGTGCTTACACTATCATTCTTTGAGTCATTTTTTTGGATCAATTTAAGGCAGTGGGTAAAAACGTAAAAATCGATCCAATGAATTGAGTGCTATAAACTCCACGAGAGGGATCAATATCAATCCTGCCCGGTTTATCCCTCTGTGCTTTACAATCGAGAAAAAGAGTGTTTGTGAATGAGAATGTGTTTTCCCGGAATAACTCTCAATCAATGAGTCATGTCGTGCAACTCCTTGAGCACGTCTGAGTCTGATGAGCAGAGATTATGACATGAACGGTTTATTCACATATCATTCATGCGATTTAACTTTGAGGAAAAAATAAAAACGATAATAAAGCAATCAGAAGTGTCGCTAATATTGGTCTTACATTGTTTCGATCCCGTAAAATTTAATTCTATGCTGATGCTTAATATAAACTGCTCGATTTAAGTGACGACTGCATCTCCTAATAGTACTCCTAGAGAGAATATATTCACCGTATGGTTAGGTTTGAACAAAGAGTACGTAGGGTAGATTGACTCGACCTCGGACGTCTTATCTTCGTTCGACATCTTTCGAGGCGCACAGAGCTACGGATTTTGCCAAGATAAATGAATACAATCGTCGTTTTTCAGCTTTCTCGTCAAGTTTACAGAAATGGCTATTGATCAAGCATCCTCGTGCATCGGTTCATGTCACTTGATCGGCTCGNTCGTCCCGGAAAAATAGTTTTACGACCAGGTTCATCGATAAAGAAAGGCGTTGGATTTAGAGTATCTAGCTTGGACTGGCCCATTCGGTTGTTCAGAGGCACCAGGCACTCTTGATGGTCTCGGATGTGGGCTTCACTCCTTGAGAGGTCGTTAATGCCCCACAAGGTAAATGCATTCAAATGTGATGACCGACAAGAAGCATTGGACAGCTGTTTCGTTCTGTTTTGGGACTCAGCAGTGCGTATTATTTGTGGACCTGTCAGGACTCGAATCGCGAGCATTCGGGTCGGGACTTCAAACCCTTACCCCTGAGCTACACGGTCGATGGTCATCACGTTGTGCTCATNGTTGAACATTGAAATGTGCAGAAACCAGCTCGTGATTAGGCCGACTGCAGAAGTGTGTGCATGACATTCACCATAATGTTAACGTTAGAGATAATACCGGCATACAATATGACACTGCTGAGGATTCTGACGAAGTGGAGTAATCGTGACGCTGGATTCATTCAGAAAGCCACTTGCGAGAAAAAGTGTTGATAGAACAGCATGAGTAGCGAACAAGCTCGTTTTCGATAACTTCTTCCTCCGGCTAATACAGTTGTGTGTCTGAGGTGAACAAATGTATAACAAATAACGTTAGAATGAATATGCATTGATTGGACGGTATGAATGTGGTGAGGAGTAATAGGGAAAGATTTAAAAACAAAAATTTATTATCAGTGATTTAGAATAGGGAATCGTGAAACAAAGAAAGGAACGAAGGGGAAGATTAATGAGACAGGATGGGCGTGGTCACATCTTAGGTCAAAGGATCATGAATAAATTGACTTTCTGTGTCGGATCTGGGTCAAGGTAGCCGTAAGGCTTTAAAAAATTGTTTTTGTGAACATAGAGTTGGTCGCAATGACTTTATTGCTAACCCCTCCGCTGTTGCAATATAATGTTGTCGGAGGGTTTTTGGGGTACCTTGTAGGTGATTTTGAACGTATCTTCATATGTCTGATATCCGGTATCTACAGGGTGCACCGTGATTGCATTCGAAATGGTCCTTGTGGTTTCCGTATTTAACCTAGCCGGTTTGTTTCTTGATTCTTTGGGAAAACTGCCTGATCGCCTAAGTAGCCTGCCGAACATGAGCAAACAAAAGAAAAGGTCGGCATGGAGGAAGTGAGGATAGGCAATTTATTATTGAGATTCAATGACAACAAGGATCTGTTGGTGGATTGTGCATAAACGGGCCTCAGGAAACCTTCGAGTGACCGACTTATCCGGGCGTCTTGTCTTGTCAGTGTCACGATGGGAATATTCACGAAGAGTGTTATTGAAAACAAGTGAACTTTTCTTCAGAGCGTGCATATTGCACATAGCG